CAGAATGGATAGGTGTTCACAGACCACTTAACATCCTCAGAATAACTTAACAAATACTAATGATTGATAAGCTGAATATTTTTCTTTTTCTGTTAAATAAATACAAGGCTATAAGAAATCTTTCTCGGACATTAAATAACCTAGCTATTTGGGGCCCCAAGACTGAAATACCTATTTTTCAAAATGGCGTATGTTTCCCCAAAAAGTTCTAATTACAAGAAAAAAACTACAGAGCTTAAAATTCACATTGAACAGCTGATGTCAAATAAAGGGATCCGAAGAAGTAATAAAGTCCTATCAACCATGTAAATAAAAATCTGGCATATAATTATGATCCCCTGACATGGGCCTATTCACTATCCGCAGTCCCCTTGACTTTAAAAGAGATTTTTAGATATTTTGACAGCAGCTGGACAGTGGGCTATCTTTTAAGTTAGCAAACAAAACCCAACAAAGTCCCAGTATTTTCCATCTCTGTCAGAGAAGGGCAATCTTTGCATACAACTGCATCAACAAATAAACCAGACAAACTTTATTAGCTACATTGAATTTCTCAAGTAAACTAAACTGTAGTTCCAGTTTATAAAAAGCTGCTCCTGTGATCTCATTGGTGTAATTTTCTTAACAAAAACAAAAGAAAAAACATTACATTTCTAAGATAATTGGCCTCAAAAAAGGAGCCTCTGAATCATGTTTCAGGAAAGGCCAGGTCAAAGCAATAGGGTTTATTTTCCTCCATTTCATCCCAGACTAGTTCACTTTAAAAAAAAAAAAAATTGTTCTCATAGAACCTAATGAAGTTCCAAGCAGCTCCAGCACAGTGACGGTGCTGCAATAATAAGAGAAAAGTGCACAAAGCACTTTTAAAAATCAAATACAGGCTGGGAGTGTGGCTCAGTGGTACAGTGCTTGCAGAGCTACAGTGCTTGCAGAGCATGTCTAGGCCATGAGACTGAACCATGGCAAAACAAAACAAAACAAAACAAAAAGTGAAACGTACTTGTTTCAACTGGATATTCTCAAAATCATTAAGGAAAAAGTGTTCATACCAAATACACGGGTGAATGCAATTGGCAAAGAGACATTTTTATTACCACAACTGTCATATATCTTTGAGAGTATACCATACTGTAAAACATGTAAAACTGGATAAAGTTTAAAAAGGAACCACCTCTTCTAGGTCAGACAGTACAGAATAAATGCTGAATAAATAGCCTATAACATAATACAAAATTATTGTTTCCATTACTGCCATATATAGCTGGTGACACCTCCCCGGGAAGAAGAAAGAAGGATAAWGGAAAGAACATCGATGATAAAATGCTAGGCTTTTTATTATCCCAACTAGTGCAAGGGCTCATGTACAAAAATAGAATCTTAGCCTCAAACCAACAGATTAATTACCTCACCTCAAGTAAAATCTGTCACAGACATTGATTACTGTCAACAAGGATTCCTTCTCCAACAACAACAAAAAAGGTAAAATTCTAAAAAACTATACAGCCAGAGTCCTTTGATTACCAGCAGCCATGTAATTTTAAACCAAAGCTTTTGTAGACAAGTTTCTCAAAAAAAAAATAAAGTTATTAAAATAAAACCAAAATGCAAGAAAATTACAGGAACAACATGTCCAATAATGAATGAATATGAAATTTACATGGAAAAAAATGTTAACTATTAAGCAAGTTTTAATTTAATATATTTCTTTTCACATTTTTAAGGGAAAAGAAAAATTTTTACCAGGAAAAAAAAAAAATCAGAAAATGAAGAAAATTTTTGAGACCATGAATGCAGAATCTTGTTGGCTTTTTCTGAGCTGCACACTAATTTTCCTAATATCCACAATAAGACTTAGACTACCCTTTCTCACAAATCATATTATAAATTTTTAAATTTTATCAACTTTAACCTCCCAACTGCCCTTAAAAAAAAATACTTCAAAAAAATGAAACTCAAAATCTGATTTTAAATAATTCCTTGTTCTCCATTTTCCTCTATTTGAGATTTTTAAGTCAAATTAATTTCATTCTTCACCTTTTTCATTCTAAATTGTAAAATTTTATAAACACATAATTTGCAACTACTGCTATTGCTTCCCATTTCCAGGACCCAAAAAAAAAAAAAAAAAAAAAACCCTTCCTATAAACTCTTTTGTGTAGCTCTTTCCCACGGATGGTCAGGGTTCTGTGGAAAACTTTCTGGAGAGAGCAGTTGAAGACCTGTTTCAACTGTAATCCAGTGATCATCTCTAACTTTGCTAAAAGATTGAGTATTAGGATTAATAACTGAAGTTAGGACCTTTATATAACTGGACCAACCTAAAAATRTGTTCTCAATTTCAAAAAACAACCATGTTGAAGATACTTGGAAGAAAAAGACTGACAACTCCATACAAAACTAAACAATAAAACATAAAGAGTGTCTATAATCRGGATACAGACTAAAGGTTAACTTTAACTTGGCATGGAAATGAATACTTCTTCTAAAGCACTGAYGTTTTAATAAAGTAGGGAAATCCAACCAATACTTAACTCCCAAATGTGCAACTAGCCAAATAAAAACTCTCCAACTGACAGACAAAATATTTTGAAACGTATTATTCAAAAAGTATCTTCAAACAAAATTGCCCGAGAGGCTCATTCAAAATTGGTATTTATCAGAAAGTATACCTACTCGTAAGTAAAATATCTTAACTTCACTAATCACTAAACTAAAACTTAGAAATTCATATGAATTTTTGTCAAGCATTATAGACAAAAGAAAATGTAATTCCTAACCACAGACAGACATCATGATTAATTTGTTTTAGACAATGACAGGCCACGAAGGGGTAAAACACAACGTGACAAAATTCACAATTAAACTATCCAACAAGTAAAAAATGGGATGCACTTAAGAAACCAATACTTTTCTTAAGTTAAATTAAGTTTATAACAAGGCTAACAATTACAGGAAGCAGCTTATTCCACACTAAGGAATAGCCCCCTTTCCTGCATGTTTGTACTGCTCTGATAAAAAACAATCAAACTTCCTAGTCATTACGCTGTCCATTTTAAATATGCTAGCTACCACACTGAAGCAATCTAYGCAACCGGGAATTGAAAAGGGTTAAAGATAGACTAAAATGAAAGAATAAGACATATAGAAAGGAAAAATACATTGTTAAGAATATATCATCCTAGTGGTCTTCCATATTTAAAACTCAAAAGGTTGCTATTTTCAACCAGAAAGAAAGAAAGAAACCGGTGTTAAAGATAATGACAAAACTGAAATTTCTAGATTTGGAGGATTAAAAATTATTAAAGATAATTTAACAGGGACCCAAATGCAAATTGATTTGGAGCTTTCAGATCAACATAAACACACAAATGAGAAACCCTTTGGTCAAATTATAACTCAAATTACTTAGTATTTTAAGTAGCACATAAACAATACAAGTATTTCCTGACTTTTATAGTTTCCTATGCCGTTCAACTTAATTTAGCATTTTGGGAATAAAATTTAATTAACTCTAAGTATTGTCAAGATCAGTGTTCGTTTTAATGTATATAAAAGGATTCTTTCTAAACAACTGTATTTAAATATTTTTAACTAGAAGTTGTTACTAATATTCCTTAAACTTTAACTTAACCAAAATAGGCCAAGGTGGGAAAAAAACTGCGTACCGAGTGTTTTCCATGTTTGTAAACATTTATGAACACATAACGGCAGATGAAATCATCTTTAAGTTTCAACTAAACTTTAACACAGGTCAGATTATTGAGTATACTACATACACATTTTGTTGCAAACGTTTCCATGGTTTAAAAAAAAATAACTGGCGCCCCTTAGCGCTCACATTGGGAAATATTCAATTTAAGAGTTCCAGCTTGCTTTTTTTTTTTTTTTTTTTTTTTTGACATTCCAGAAAGTTTTCTGCCTCCACAATCTTTCAAATGCCAACACAAATAGGAAAAGCAGAGCCCCTTAAAGGGCCAGCTCGTTTTCTCCGGAACAATTTGGGATGAACAGATAGGCTGATCCAAGGGTGGCAAGCGCCCGCTGCCAGGTGCGTTGCTGCTGTACGTTTAACACCTAAGCCAAACAAGGCAGCAGCACCTCAAGGTTTCCCATTTTAGAACCGCTTCTTTGACTTTCGAGTCAACAAAAGCTGCGGAGATCTCTCTAACTCCCTTTTACCAGGGAGATATTCCGGTCTTTTGTTCCTCCATGACATTCCAACTCCCTGGGCTCCTCTCCTTTCCCGGGCTCTACGTGAAAAACCTCGAAATTCCTGGGAAACCTGGGGCCGGCGGTGCGTCCCCGCGGCGCGCGGCCTCGGCGTCCTCGGGCGGCCGGCAGCTCCGGCACCAACTCCGCTGCGTGCGCCGAGTCCGCGGGCCGCCTCGCGGCTGCGGGCGTCTGCGCTCGGGCCGCCGCAACTTGGCCAGCTCGGCGTCGGCCGCCGTCAATCTCCGGCCCGCGGCGCCCCGCCACGCAGCTCTCGCAAACTTTCGCTCCTTGGGGCTTTCTCCGGGCCGACCCCGGGCGGCGGCCCGGAGCACGCCCACCGCCCCAGTTCCCTCGGCCCCGGGCCGTGTCCCGGGCCGAGCGCGCGTTATTTCGTACCCCACCCCCAAAAAGTGAAGTCAAACTCCCCAACTGCTCTCGCTTCCCCAACAAAAGGGCAGAAGTGCTCCCCGCGGGCACTCCGAGCTCGCCCGGCCACGGCGTGGCTGGAGGCCCGAGGGTCCCGCCCGCACGACTGCGCGGCCGCCCGCAGAACCCGACGGCCGGCGGGAGGGTGGCCCGGGACCCCGGCCTGCGCCGCCGCGGCCGCCTCCCCGCGCCGCCACCGGGCCCGGAGGGGCCCCAGTCCCCGCCCGCCGCGCGCCGGCCGCCTTTGTGCGCCCGCCCGCCGCCGCCGCCGGCCTCCCGGTCCCGGGGCGCGCGTCCCGCCCGGCCGTGACCTTCCCGCCGCCCCTCCGTCCCGGGCGGGCCGGGCCCGCCGGGCCGCTCACCTTCGTCCAGCAGCCGCTCGAGGTGGTTGAAGATCCCGCAGAAGTTGGGCAGGCTGCTCATGAGCTTCTTGTCGTTCATCAGCTGCATCAGATAATCTGGGGTGGGCTTCGGCTTCTCCTTCGTTTCCATTTCCCCGACCATATTCCAGGCTCCGCAGCTCACTCCGCCCGCCGCCGCCGCCGCCGGAGAGGAGGGAGGGGCGGGGGCGAGCCCCGGCCGCCGGCCGCTCGGGACGCGGCGTCCCGCTCCGCGCCGGCTCCCGCTCCGGGCCCCGCGCCGAGCCCCGCGGCGGCCGGCTCCGCGCGCCCGCCCGCCCCCCGCAGGCACTTTCCGCCGCCCGACGCGCTCCGGCAGCCCTCGGCCGCCCGGGCGGCGCTCCCTCGCGAGGCCGGCGGCGGAGGCGGGTCTCCGAGTGCGGCGCGGGCCGCTGCGCCGCGCTGGACCGGGCCGCCGCTGCTGCTGTCGCGCCGCTCAGCGCCGCCGCCGGTGCGCGGGCTCGGGCTCTCTGCTGTCCCCGCCGCGGCGCTCTGCCGCTGCCGCCGCGCTCCGACTGCGCTCCTCCTCTTCCTCCTCCTCCTCTCCTCCTCCTCACTCACTTGGCGGCGGAGTTCGCCTCAGTTCAGGCGGCGCTGCCGGCGGCGGGGGGAGGGGCGGCGGGAGGGCCGGGGGCGGGGGCGGGCGGGGCCGCGCAGGGCGGCCGTTAGCGGGGCCCGGCCGGCGCGCTCCCGCCGCCCACCGCCCCCGGCCCGGCCRCTGGCGCCGTGCTGCCCTCCCGATCCGGCTCGGGCGGCCTGGGTGCCGGGACGGGTGACCGAGGGCGAGGGGCGGGGGGCGCCGTGGGTGGGGGCCGCGGGCGTGTGGGGCGGGGGCCGGGCCACCCCCGCGCTCTGCCGCCGGGAGCCGGGGCCGCGGGCGCGGTCGGGCGGGCGCGGTCGACGAGAGGAATTCCCCGGGACGCGCCACGACGCGCCGGCGCTGCGCTCGCCGCCGGCGGCCYTCGCCTCCCCCACGTTACTATAGTTTTTTTAAAACCTCTCGTCCACCCTCCCCGCTATCCCCCGAAAAGAGATTTTTTTTTTTTTTTAACGTCCTGTTGCTTCAAGGGGGGACTCTCGGGGTGGGCGTCACGTGGCCCGACACGTAGCCGTGGGGCGCGAGAGCGCGTGCGCGCGGCGAGGCTTGTGGCCACGCCCCTTCCAAGGGTCGCCCCGCCCCGCCGGGCCCGMGAGCGCGCGGCGGGGGCGGGGCCCGGAGCGCGCCTGCGTGGGGAGGGGGGCGGCGACCGCCTCGTGCCGTGACAGGAAGGGCCGTTCCTAGCCKCCCCAGCTCGGGGCCCTGGGTGTTGGGGGCTGGGTGGCTTCGCACCGTGCGCCGGCCCGTCGGASCCGCGCGGCGTCGGTCTCTATTCAGGAACGAGTCCGGGTCATGACTGCGGGTGGGGCGGGCAGGCCTGAGTTGGGTCCCTGGCCGCGCCGCAGCGTGCCTCCGCAGGGCTCCGCAGGCGCCTACTGGGCGCGCCGCTCCCGGGTGGAGCCGCGCGTGACGACCCTCCCGTCGTCGCCTGCGCTCCCCGTGGCGCGGCCATCCGCTGGGAAGCTGGAAAGTAGCCTTGGAGCGCTGGGCGGGGACCCGSCTATCCGCGCGCAGTCACGCGTGCGCACCCACGGGCGGCGTGGGCGGCGGGACGCGCGCCCTCGGGAGGGGAAGCTTGTTGCGCGGTTCCGTTATTTAGAAAGCGAATTAGGTGCAGCAGTGAACGCAGCGGTGGACTGAGTAAGGAGGGGAGCTTAAACAGTGTTTTGAGATGCTTTGCTTCGAGATKGCATCAGGGTTGTGTAATAGAATGAAGTCACCGTATGAAAGAAAGAGCATATACAGTTTGAAAAGCAAAAGTCAACATTTATTTTTACAGACTTGAAAAATATCGAGGGCAAGAGGTTTTTCCATAAAATACAACGGATTTCAAATACTTAAAAATTGCTTGGGGCACAATTTTGTGAATTGCAACCGTGAAGTCCTTTTTGATTTATGAAACTTGCCAGTTACTACATTTGCGTCTGCGTTTCGTTGCAAGTTCTTTATAATGTGTTCAATTAATGCACACACAATTATTTAATATCAAATTACCCATTTGAGAGTTAGGAGTGGCTAATCATGCCTTACTGTGAATTTAGCGGTGCCTTACTGTCAAACTGCTTTACACATCTGAAGAGCACTTCTATGTGTTGTGCTCAAGGTATTAAAAGAATTTTGAGCAAATATTTCTTTAGCCAGCAGCTTCTGACTCTAATTGAAAAGCTACAGAGTTCTTTTTCTTATTTTATAATTATATTACTTGGGTAAAGGGAATGGAATAGCATTGGTAGACAAAGTTAAACACATGTAACATGAAATATTTTTAATTCCCCAAGGCCATAACCTCGCCTAGAGCCATAGAATATTGACCTTCTTAGCTATCTATTTAAGGAATGAATTGTGTAAACACAGGGAAGAATAATTTGATCAAAAACTGTGTAAAATACAGTTTGAGTACCTAGAAAAGAACYATTGTGATGCAGAATTAATCATTTGCTTATGTAAATGACACAATCCCCCTTCTTAGTTGGTTCATTGTTTATTAATTTCTTGGGCCCTGAGCTAAATATTTTACCTATATATTTTATTCAGTTATTGGTACAGTCTTGTAGCTTAGATTATACTGTTACCCTGTAAGAGGAAACCCAAGGAGAAAAAGGTTAAATAGCTTGCTCAGGACTATAGCTAATGAGTCCTGAGTTTTGAGATTCAAATCCAGTTATTTTCCAGAGCTCATGTACTTTGCCTTTTCACCATCCCTATCCAGCAAATCCATTGAACCTTATGATAATGTTCCACCATTTTTGACTTACAGAAACCGAATTTTCATGAAACTCAACTACTACATCTAGTTGAAGCACATTCGAATTAAGGAACAATGGCAGGCATTATTCATTTCCCATGCATTAATCCATCATGATTGCAGCATTTGGTAATAGCAACTATGTGTTATCTTTTCAAGTATACATAGATGTTCAGTATAAGCTCATTTGCTTATTTCTTATGCAGACTGGCATCTGCATCCAGCCAGCCATGGTCCAGGCAGGTTTCCTGGCTTGGCTGCCAGAAAGTACYACCAGAGAAGGCTTCTCTGAACACGATATGAGCATACTGCAGCCAGCATGCACCCACCTCATCTGTTATTCTATCTCCTTACCTTCTTTGAGATGATTTCTGCAGCATTTCTCTCCACCCACCATGTCATATCGATGGGTCATTTTGGCAGCTGGCACTACACTAACCTTTATGCTGTCTTCCCAGAACAACACCTGATAGTGTAAGTACTAATTACATATGTGTTCAAAAAGAAGCATCATGTTSTTGTTATGTGTCAGGAAGTCTACAAATCCCTTACACAAGCCTTAGAGGTAGGCATGAGTAGCCATATTTCAGGAACAAGGTAACTGATTGCTTAAGAGCAGCAAGTAGCTGTGTAGGCAGGACTGGTGGGTTCAGGTGCTTTCTTTGGAGCCATTGACCTCCCACATAGACCCCTGACCCCTTCCTTTTCTCTCTCACATTCTTGCCTCAGAATTTTATGTATACATTACAGATTAATTACCCAATGTATGATAAATGCAGTGAGGAATACAAAAATTCTTGGCTTACCTTCAAGAAACTACAGCACTGAAAACTACTACAGAGGGCTCCTCAGTTACATTATCACAACAATCCTCTTAATATAGTATTCAAAATAAGTTAACCTCCATCAAATGTATGTGTGAAGTGAGCTTGGAGTTGAAGATCCTTGTAATAGCTTTCCACTGTGAAAAACACATAATCTACTATGTTGACAATAAAAATGGTTCCACATTCTTTCAACATCAGTAATTAACCAGGAGTGAAAATTACATTTTCTCTTCTCTTAAATTTCATTGGCTCCATTTGCTTATTGCTATTCTTGACATTTAAAATAGAAAATTATAGTATTCCAAACACTTCTGTCTTCATCACCATGGAGTTCTTGTAGGAACTAAAATTTTCTTTAGACCTAAGATTCAGTGTTCAGTGGCTTTTTGTCCCAATGTTCTTTTTAAAAAACTTTAATCCTCAAATTGCCCTAAAAAGGAATGGGACATTTTTAGTATCTTTATAAAGTAATTGTTTGTTAACAGATTTCTCAAATACTCTTTTAAATTGGCTTATCAGGTGCTATTCAAAAGATGGAAAATGACACATTTTAAGACTGAATCTCTTACTCAAATACTTCAAGTACCTGTTATATGTAAATGCATGTCATTAACCCTGGGCATTTAGGGACTAAGTTAATGGCATGCATATTTGAGAAATTAATTACTGACAAGTGATAGCTAAAGACCAAGAGCTGTAATCTTATCAGTACTACATTCCCTGCCTGGAAGCCTCAGCAAGATTGCTGGGAAGGGGGTTTGATTTCCTGCTTGGGGGAAGAGAGGTGCTGGGACAGGCACTGACAAAGACTTGGACAGTGGAAAAGTACCAGGCCTGAACTAGGAGTTCACTCTGATGCCAGATTTTGGTGGCCTTGGATATCACGTTGTGTTTGTAGATTTAGATCCTTGGAAATTTTTTTTTTTAAATCAAATAGTAACATAGATCCCTTTCAGCAAGACATACTCTCTCTCTCAGTACAAATAAAGTATTTGTAAAATGGAAGAGTTTGCTCCTCTCAGCCACTGCAGTAGTAACTGTGCTGCCTCTTAACTCACTGACGTGATGCTTCCAGATGTAGTGCTAACATTAGCTTAAACCACTGCACAGTTGGTTAAATGTTAACTAACGGTGTAAGGTTTCTGCTCATTTGACCCTAAATGAAACTTTAGAGGTAAAAATACTCTCAGCCAGGATGCAGGCCCTTGTGCCATGCAATCCAGCCTTCATTCGATATTTAAACAGAATCTTCAACTAAAATATAACTGTCTATTAATTGTAGGACTATGAAACTGAACTAAAATACATTTTGTTTTGATCAACTTTCAGACTAATTCCTGGCTTTATGACTGTAAAATAATTTCAATAGTGTTCCCCTTGATTGTTAACTTGTAGATCCTAAAGGATGAATCTGTGATTAGATTTTTTAACACATTAAATAGATATCATTTGATTCATAGTCTGTGATTTAGTTTTCAATAGCTAATGTGGGTAAACATTTTACAAGCAAGGAAAATAACTGGTCATGTCCCAGATAGTTAATCAAATTCCATCATCTTTTACTAAAATTTAACTTAGGAATTGTAAACCAAAAAGAGGACTGACATTTATAGAGTCCCTATGAAATATCAGCCACTTTAGTTATTTAGTGCATGACAGCTCTTGAGTTAATAATTATCCCCATTCTATAGTTGAAGAAGCTGGAGCTCAGAGGRTTAACTAAATAGCATGACTCCTGACCCACAGCTGGTAAATGCTAAGGATAGGATTCAAACTACACTTTCAAAGTCCCAAATGACTCAAGACACATAGCTGGTCCTCTTGTAGTTAAATTTGGGTGCCCAGGAGCTGACTTTTAATGACAGAAATTGCTGTCATCCTTGAGTCTTCCTTTTCCTTGGTCCTTGTGATTTTGAA